ATAATTGTTACACTGTTCTAGATTTAAGTCACCACCAACTTGAAATAAGATTGGAAACGGGCATTTTGAGACAAAATGCCTTGAAGTTAGCATTCCTGACTCATATTAGGCAGTGCTCTTTTGCCATAATAAGCCATAATTTACCATCCTGTCATCATCTCAAGTGTATTTAGGCTACCTTATTGTAAGCTCAACAAAAGTAATACTGTTCTAGATTCAAGACATTTTACCTACTAGATTCAAGACATTAACTACTGTTTACTAGACAGAAAAAGTGAAAAATACACAACCTTTTTTTTTTAAACAGCAAAAAGTCCCAGAGGACTGCATAAAAGGGAAACAGCTTCATTTTTCTCAACATTTTGGCTCACAGTATTTATGGAACTGCAATATGAAAACATAGTAGAACATTTTATAGATTATAAATGTAAGATCCCTTTACCCTACTCCCACACCTAAACATACCCATTTTATAGACAATATTAAAAGAATCAAACGTAATGAACATAATGTGTAGGGAAATGGCAGTTTTATTAACAATAAAGCATTAAAATATAGTTTGAGCCACTAGGCTAATCCTACCCCTACACCTAACCATTTCTTAAAACTATGTAACTAATGTTACAATTATAAAGAAAAACACAGACATAACGTTACACGTTTAATCGCAATAATTTTATTTAGTGAGAAAAAAACCTGCATGGTTCATATACAGCAACCATATATTATCTTCCTTACTTAAATCGGCCAGAATTACCTTCTGTGTTTCATATAAGGCCAATACATGTCCTATACAAAATCAGACCGATTATGGCCCATTTCATACTAAATAACACACATACAACTTGTAGGGGATTTTTGCGTTATATATGAATACTGTTAAAAGACTTGTATGAGTTTTACATGACAAAAGTATGCAAATGTGTATGGTATTACTCGAAATATATAAAATTCATATATAATAATTTAAAGTTCTTCATTTTTAAACTTAGAATATTGATTAGATTTTTAAGCAGTGAAAGCAATTACTTACACTGTATTAACTGAGTAAATGTTAGTAAAACAAATTAAATAGATCCGAGTAACTGCATTTGGTACATTAACAAATAAACTTGAGTAGAAATAATTAGGGGGAAACATTTAAAAACAAATATTTATGAGTAATATAAACTGTGTTTATATGGCAGTAATATTAACTTTTTTATTTCCTCTAAACCTTTGTAAAAATATTCCATACAACCACCGGTATAACTACATGACATTGGCCTTTATTGTCGATTAGTAGCCTAACATTACAGCAAAACAGCATATATTTTATACTATTTTTAACACGTATGCAATATTGCCTACATCTAAACTCATGTAAGAAACATTTTCGAAGTAAAAATTAAACATTTAGGCCTAAACAATAAAGTAATTCAAGTGTAATCAACCGGTCTGTTATCCAGTATCCACCGGATCAGCGCTGTTTCGCGTGCCGGAGATGGACTCGCCTCTGCGGGGGAACCTCTAACTTTACACCGCCGTCCTGCGTCACTCACAGCCGAAAGATGCTGCGACGCGACTGACTCCATAACCTGCCAATAAACAAACAGTGCACAGTTCTGAGGACATTTTATCATCCAAATTAGTTATAATTCATTATCTTTAAGAATATAGTCGTGTGTTTTATATGCGAGGCCTTACAATCACGCGAAAAGGCAGGCGCGAGTCGACACTCGTTTAAGGCGAGTAACATTGCGTCTCTGTATGTTCCTTCACATTAAATAAAATTATTTAAAGCACATTAATGATTATACGGATAAAATAAAACATACACACCTGAATTTCACAGAGGAAATGCACCAATTCTGCGAGGCTGAGGAGAGGAGAACTGTTCTGCACTGGAGTTCAAACAGCGCGCGCTCACTCAACCGTCGAGTTGTCGTCACGTCAGAGGGTGGGGGAGGGGTGCGTTGTTGTAATCATAGACAGTAAAATACAATTTCTTATGCTTGTTAAATATTAATAATATTGATTTTATTTAAGTAATATTTGTGGTTCTTGAAACAGATTAGTTTAATTATCCATTCTCAAATATTGTGATGGAAATTTCACAAATTTAGCTCAGTGTATTTTAAATAAATAATTGGTTAGTCAAATACTAAATTATTTTAGTGAAAAACTTCAAACTTAAATATAACTGTAAATTTCAGACAAAATTTATTGTTGGAGTTTTAGTCAATTATTTCGGTAGGCTATGTTCAACTCAAACTATCAAGTAAATGATATTCAGAGATTTTAGGTAATAAAGTTAATTATTACTGTGATATTTACTAAGCCACTGAATTATTTTTTAGAGTGATACGCATAAGAATCACTTCAACATTTAGGAAAGTTTTATGTTTGTAGGTTAAGAATAGAACTGTTGTATACCTAGTAGTACTGTGATAAAGTTTAGAGAAATTGTCACAAATGAAAATGAAATCTGGTGATGCAGGATTTAAAATGAAAACTATTGATATGTGAAATATGCAACTGTATATTGTAGAACACATTCTAATAAAATATTTTTGTAATTAAAATGTGTGCTTGTGTGTGTAGTTTAAATGTTTAAAACATATGTGGTTTTTGCAGCATATTATGTCCCTTACAATATTCTGTTGGAACATATAAGAATCACAGGAGTTTTTAGCAAACCTTTTCCATATGGGGTGTAACATTAAACTATTAATAAATGCGACTGAAAATTTAATTGATAAGACAATTGAATGCAATAGAGTCAAAACCACGATTTTAATATGCATAAGTTAAATAGGAATACATACAAATTTGTACGTCGGTAAAGTTGTTTATACGTAAATAAATTACGTTTTTTTGCCGTCAATATATGTCATTGTGAGTTGTTGTGAGTTGGGCATGTTGACCTGCAGTTTTCAATAAAGCAGATTTGTTGTCTCAATACCAAGTCAAGTCTGTTTCTTGAAACAAGACGATTCATCTTTTACAAATAACACAGCAGCTTAAAAACCTTATGACATGTCAAAAAAGCTTGTTTCATCTGAGATATGACTCAAAACAAGATATTTTTAAGACAGTTTCACTTAACAAGATATTCAAGATGCACTGTCTAAAAACAAGCTCCTTTATCTCACTTAAATCTTGGTATTTAGGTGATTTTGTCTTATATTAAGTGTGATGAGATATTTTGACTAGAAATTAGAAAAATATACTTGGCAAGATTTTTAGTTTTTGCAGTGTGTTTTTACTAACAAATTATATGCATCTAATTAGTTTAAATTACAGTGGAATGTTTTCCTCGAAATCTCGCAATTTCGGGGAACTTGAGTTCCCGAACATAATGCATGATGGGATACGCTTAGCCTTGAATACCGCTCCGAAGCAGTATTCGAGATAGAGAGGGTTTAGTGTGCATGAAGGGCACTGCACTTTGGCATTTTTAAGACACGGGACAGTGTTTCGCACTTATAGTAGGTAGTCATGTGCCAAATGAGTCAATGCCTATTACCACCGCAGCAAAAATAAACCAGTCGCATTTCAAAGTCATTCGCGAAATGATGGCCAGGTGGCGCAAAGGGATATAGTGCAAAACAGCAGCAATTGCCGCATTCTGAAATGTAAGTGGGGTTAATGTCAATTAACAGCAAGGATGAAATACTACAACTATGGTAAACAGAATAGAACATTTCTTAGGACAGAAAAATAGAATCAAAAGTTAAAAATAGAGACGAGAACAATAAAGCCAGTCACGTGTACGAGCTCTCAAGTGGCCAAGGGTGGGTATTTGGACAGGGCAACGGACTGGGAAGACAGGAGCAGCAACAATGGAGAATATGTGAAAAATAATGTGTTTTTTGAACATTCAAGCATGCAAACCTGTTCTAGTGCAGCCCAAAAACTAAATCAAGACACAATATGGTCTCTTTAATGCCTGGTTCAGATTACACGATTTTTTTTGTCTGTTACGATAGTCACTGTGTCAGATTACGCGATTTTGACTCCTAAAATCTTGTCGTGTCGTGGACAAGAGTCATCGTGTGCCGTCTTTAACGACGCGCGGGATGTCATGGAGAAGGCGAAACTAGTAGCGAGTGACTTCCGGAAACGAACGTAAACAAACAATGGATGAAGCAGTGAGTGTTGGCTGTCCTGTGTTCAGAAAAACGTAAAAAAAAGGAACAAAACCCGACAATGGACACGTTCCTGGATTGCTCGAAGAGGACAGTATGGGCTGTCAATCTGCCAAAGAGAACTTGAGGTAAAATATTGTTTTCTGTTTCCTTTTAATAACCTTTCCTCCATGTCATAACTCCACCTAGTAGCACAATCGTCTCTCTTTCGTTTCGCCATTTCTGAAAGTTGTGTACGGAAAAGCTTCTGTGCTCCTATTGTTCAACCTCATACATGTGACGGAACCCGTCGTGGACGACCGTTAAAAAAAATTAAACATGCTAGTCTTTTTGTTGTGATGTCGTGAAGCATCGCAGACGCGACGTAGGTTGTCGCCCACTATGACACACTATACGAGATGATACGATCGAATCTTGCGTCCCGACGCCCGTTTTCGTTTACGAATCCCCACGACACCCTACGTCAAACGGATCGAGCCAAAATCGGGCTAAAATGGTGTAATCTGAACCAGGCGTTAAGGGTTGTTTTAAGGACATGTTTGAGCATGCCGGTAGACAGCCACTCTGAAGCGGTCAGAGGCGATTCTAAAAGAGTCAAAAAGTCGAGACAGGACCCATCGTCAAAAAGTCTGTGTCCACCACAGTGCATCCGAAACAAACTAGAAAATAGACTCAAAGTGCTAAATACTGGAATTATCCTTTAAAGTCCCTATATTGCTATTGCTATCCTTAAAGTGCAGAAAAAATTTCGATGTCAAAATCAATACTGGGGTTTGGGATGGTATCGGTTTGTTCGACCAATATTTGGCACTTCGGTGATGCTGGAAATGACACACTTCACCTTTAAGGACATCAGATCATTGGCCTCACCTCAGGACCAGTGATGTGCATCATACCAGACACCGCAGACGCAATGGAGTCATATCCAGGCTTGTGTGACTCCGGGCCCGTCTGTCCATATCCTGAATAAATGAACAGACATTTAATGTTAATAATGTTAATATTTTATTAACATTAATGACACAACAGCAGGGATATTAGGCTGCTGTCACTTTAAGACCGAATGCACACTAAATATATTCTGACACACATCCGGTTTCTCTCTGAACTATTCAATTATGACATAACCGAGAGAATACTTGTAGAGACGGGTATTTTGACATAATTTTGTGTGTATGTGTCTGTTCAAGCTCAAGTAAACGCGAAAGAGGAATCAATTCGGTGTTTGAGCGCACGATTTTTGCCTCTTCTTTCGCGTATAAAATAGTTTGAATGTGTAAATTGGTAAGACAAAAGACGTCAAAAGTGATAAACTTTCACTCTATGATTGTAAAATAAATCAGGGAATCATCAGGCTTGTGTGAGTCTGGGCCCGTCTGTCCATATCCTGAATAAATGAACAGACGTTGTTAGTGATTATGTGTGTGAATGATTATCAGATGGAAATGTGCATACAGCTCACAGTTCTGTGTAACATGAGCATGTCAGAGCTACAATCTCCAGCATATTCTGTTGCCAGTAGGGCTTGATTTGGGCCTGTGTGTGGCTCTCAGAAATCCCTACAGCTGAGCACACACGTCCAGAGAGAATGTGGGCAAAGACTCGATTACATTTCTATTATCATCATCTAAGTCAGATTAATTCGGTTCTAGGAACTCCACCATAGTTCTAAGACTTTGACTCACTGGAGGTAAACACCCATGGATGTGTTTATTTCCTTGGCGGAGGTATGGGTGGCTTAAGGAAAATCTGTCATGCCTTAGTATGCTTTCTAGCCAGTTTGTGCAAATACAATTCATAAACCAGTGTCACTTCATAACATTATCCCTCTCTCTTTGCTTTAATTAGTTGAATTTGCTAAGGCAACCATCACTATTATTATTGCTCATACTCAAGTTTAAGTATGTATATATTGTAGTGTGTATTTTTTAATATATATATTTATATATATATATATATATAAACACTATTATTAACAGGGGTGCACATAACTTTTTTTGGTCTGGTTCTGAAGGGAGCACCTGGAGAAGCCCTGAAAAGTGAAGCCAAAGCGTCTCGATCGCCCCCCCGGTGGCCGGTCCTAGTATAGGTCATAAACCCCGCCTCCCCGTGTTACTCAACGGCACGTGAGACCAACTAAACAATTAAATTACACTTCAAATATCTTTTTTCCAAAGATGGTTTTTGTCATTTACTGTAGTTTTTATCACAATGATGTAAGTTCAAGTGTTTGTTTTTAAAATAAGTTTGTTTTTAGATAGTTATTTGATGCGGTGGTGGTGACGTCATGATTGACAGCTGTGATTGACAGGTTCTCTGAGGGAAGTAGTCACTGAAGCACCAACAGACTTTTTTTTCGGGATCTTCAGAGGACTGAGGAGATTAGAGCTTTAAATGTATTATCTAAATTTCTATGATTAATTTTAAAAAGTGCAGGAATGTGTGCTTGCGATTGATTCTGCGAGAGTGAGGGCCATATCGGGACACTGGCGGCTTCACTTCTGACCAATGGAAGAGAGCGAAGGGGCGTCGTCCATCATTTTTTACAGTCTATGCTTGGTACTCACACTTTATACGGTACACTTATCTTACAAGCTGTCGTTATCACTTTCCTCCTGACTGCTCTGCTCACTATCTTCTTTTCTCTCGAACATGGTAGATGATGATGATGATGTTTTTTATTTTATTAACATTAATGACACAACAGCAGGGATATTAGGCTGCTGTCACTTTAAGACCGAATGCACACTAAATATATTCTGCCACACATCCGGTTTCTCTCTGAACTATTCAATTATGACATAACCGAGAGAATACTTGCAGAGACGGGTATTTTGACATAATTTTGTGTGTATGTGTCTGTTCAAGCTCAAGTAAACGCGAAAGAGGAATCAATTCGGTGTTTGAGCGCACGATTTTTGCCTCTTCTTTCGCGTATAAAATAGTTTGAATGTGTAAATTGGTAAGACAAAACACGTCCAAATGATAAACTTTCACTCTATGATGGTAAAGTTAATCATCACATGCGTGTTGAACCGTGGGGCCTGGTCCGTACGTACGGATCAACTGCGATCTGTTCCACCTAATAATTAATGAACACACTTATCATCACGATTGCTATCTAACCAAAGATGGAGCAAAATCCTATTCCAGTAAGTAAACGTGTCCCCAAAAATGTTGGTACTCAAATACGCTTCCTTCCACGTTTTTTTGCTGCGCATCGTTTGTTTTACCACGCATGCGCACTTGCTCACCAGTTATGAGCACCCCTGACTATTAACCATTTGTGCTATACAGTAAAAAAAAAATCCTGTTAAAATTACAGTAAAAAACTACCATTTGTGGTTGCCAGAAAATCACAGTAAAAAATATTGTAACAATGTTATTACGGGATTCCTGTATATTTCATTAAATGACATATTGTTAATATACTAATCTTTTTAGCATAAAAATTCTGCGTTTAACTTAAATGTATTGATAACCACCATAATAATAAAGGTGTTAAAATAGCAAACCACATGATGAATCAGAGGTCACCGTAAGAGGCCGGTCCATAAAACATACACACAAAGCCATCAGGTCACATGACACTTAAATAATGCAATTTACATTAAATAACAGAAAATGTACAAACTGATAGAATAATTATTTATACAAAATACCATATGTGGTGTATCACACAGAGACTTTGAGGAATGTTCTTTTACTGTTTTCACCATAAACTACATGATAATTCATAGTTTAAACTTGCAAAAAAATTATATTTTTGTGATTTAGAATTGTTCATTGTATATAGTAATTGTATAAAGGTAACATACAGTTAGCCAATTACCAGGTTTTTACAGTAGAATTTTGTTCAGTTTTTTTTCTGTAAACAACCACCCAAAATACCCTAGCAACCACCCATCAATGCCATAGAAACCCCTGACAACACCCTAGCAACACCTTAGCAACCTGCTGAAACCACTTAGAACTTCTAGCGGCTGCATAGCAATGCCCTGGCCGCCACTCACACCTGTGGCAGAGAGTTTTACAAGCAAAAGCACTGCTCACATTCAGTTATATTAGATATTTATCTATAAAAATGTGTTTCCAAAAGAAAGTTATCATTGTAAAGATCTAACAGTGGGCCTGCACTTCCTAAAAGAAGAAAAGGATTCAACCTTTCACAATACAGTTGTGTTTTTGAATTCACGTCAGACAAACAGTTTATATTACAAAAATAAAAATCGTTATTTATTTGCAGCCAAAATGTTGAGTTGTGTCATTATACCACATAATAATGATGTGGTATAATGTCTTTTTTTTTATAGCACACTACATTCATAACGTCTCTTTTACTACTGTGATGTTACAACCACCACAAAAAAGGGCGCAAAGATATTTGGAGCACAAGTAAACAAAGAACAAACATCTCCATAATTACCCTTTCTGCCAGGCATAACCACACCAATATTAACAGAACTCTGAGAACAGGAATTTGTACATTTTCTAAAAAAAAATAATAATAATAAAAAAATTGAAAAACGCCAGAGCTCTGTGGCTGTTTTAGCACATTGTAAATTATCTCTAGGGTCTCAGAATCCTCTGAAAAGTATAAACACTGACAAAACATTGTTCTGCTTGTTTGAGAATCCTGACCAGCCCTGCATAGCAACAGCTCAACCAATGGCATGATTTTGGGGTGGGGCTATCTTTTTATCTGACCAATGGCAGACAGGGAGAGTGTTTGTGAAACTTGTATGAAAACAGTCCTAATTTTTGCCATTCTGTTCGCAGAAATTACGCATTTTATTTTTAAAGTTGGCATAAAATGAAAATTCACCCTATTTAATACTACTAAATAGATGTAATTGATCCGTTACATCCACCAGAGATAGTCCACACTTCCTTGTCCTTTGCCATTCCATCATGAACTACATTTCCCATAAACCTTTGCCCGGACTCGTAATGTTCTGATTACTGCCACCTGTTTTCCATTACCCTTATTAACTCTGCCGAAATAAGCCCTGTTTATTCAGGGGCTGTTCACACGACACCGTTTTCAACTAAAAACGTAAAACCTTTTATGCATTTTGGCCGTCCGTTTACACGACAGCGGCGTTGTTACGGGATTATGTGTAATTACGTATAATATGTTTTGATTCAGTATAGTGATGGGAAACCAAGGCTTTCTGGAGCATTTGAGGCTTTCATCAAATTGTGACGAAAAAAGGTTCATTACTCGAAGCTTTTAACACAATGCGCATTGGCACACTTGTTTTCTCCACCATATCTAACAAATCACAGCAGAGCAGAAAAAGCACGTGACCAAACAAAGCTTCGGAAGTCCATGACATTCAAGTGTGGGATCGATGCAGTTCTATCTAATCTCATCGAAATCAATTTGCCAATGAGAACACAACAACTCGTGTCATGAGTAGCCTGGTCAACGGATTCACATATTGATCAATAATATAAAATATACAAGTATGTGATCATAATTATAGTAACAATATTTTGGGTGTTCCGTTTTAAAAATATATGTATGAAAAAGTCTCCTAAATGAAAACTGTGCAACCCAGTGTCACAAAAAAAAAGACTTGTATACATGTACTAGAGTTAATTTTTCAACTTTAAAGGTGTTAGTTGCTTTCATTCGTTATTTTTTCAGATTTTTTCTAAATAAAATTCAGTAAATTTATTCCCATTGTTTTTATTTTTCTCTATATAAATTATATTTACAAACTCAGCACACACAGTAATGTCCAATAACTAATTTATTGAAAGCCATTTTTTTCTGAAAAAGATAGATAGCACATTGTTTTAGAATTTGAGTGTCAAAAAAACTAAATATGTGAAAAACACCTATTTTAGCTTCATATTATAAAGGGTAATAAAGTGTGCTGCATTTGGATCCTGCTTCCTCCTTGTTTCAACCGCATCGTAACATGTATATATATACTACTATAGTTAATTTTTT